TGATCTGGAAAGGGGGGCGGGGGGGGCAAAGAATTTTTTTTTTCCCATTTACAAATGTAAAGAGAGTATTCAAGAGATGTTTAGTTATTGCATCAAAGGTATATGAATGGACTGATTTGAAAACCAGGCTATTTAGAGTTCATATTGCTTTTGTGAACTTCAAAATCTAGTGATGCGGTCATGCAAACACCAGTATGAAGCTGGATTTCTTCTGAAAAAGAGACGGCCATCTGAGGAACAAACAGCAGTTTCGAAGAAGGATTGCTGAAGTTCTAATACATCATGACCAACATGGAAGAGACTGGTTAAGATCCTTGTAATGGTATGTGGGAATGACCTTGGGAGACAGGGGGAAGAACCACAGACTAGGTAATAGTTGGATAAGAGGCAGCTTAGCCCACAGCTGGAATGTGGGCATGGGAAACATCTCAGAAGAGACCTTTCCTAGTTTCTTGGGCTGTAAAGGTGACAGCAGATAAGTATACATTCAAACTTGCAAAATTCTGTTAATGTAACCTTACAATTAAGTAGAATTAGTTCATCTGGGTGAGTTTCTTGTCTGGACTACTTTGCAAGGCTGACAGTCCTTCATGTTGTAACAGTACTGTTTGTTTGGCACAGTTGGATTTGCTGAAACAGAATTCACATATGGTTTGAAAATGATAGCAGAAGAAATAGAAAATGCCATTGGAAAATATGTGATTGTCAAGACTAAACCATCATAGAAGTCTGATGACTCTGGTTGGTCTCAGAGGTGGAATCCTGTTCACTAAACCTGAATAATCCACCACATGGGTACACTGAAAGCAAGGCATGAACTATTTAGGATCATGAGGAGCATAATATCCTTGATGGATAATGAGCTCTGGCTGTAACTGCAATCTGCTGGAAACAGTCTAAGGGTATGAGGTTCACCAGTCCTGTAAAGTGACAGAGAAAAATTATGGTCTTGATATCAATCTGGCAAGCAATCAAGACCCTGATACAACACAAGAGATTTAATCTGCAGAATCTCTAGATGCAGGAGATAGAAGTCTTCAGTGTTGTCCTAAAGGGAATGGTCTTAAGATTAGTAACATCCTGTTGGTGAATCATATGTCATGAATGGAGGCAGAGGGGAAGGTCAATTTCCCCTTCTGAAATAGCTGAATAGAATAGGTTCATCTCAAGAAGACAACTGTATAGTACCAAAACTGGGCAGTCACAGTGAATTGGTGAAAGGAAAGAAAGAGGAAAACCCAACAGGACCTGTTTAGGCATAGAATGGATTAAAGGAAATTTTTGAGAAGGCACCTATGCTACCACAAGCCTTAATTTGTTAGGAAAGAAAGGCATGCAAAAAGCCTTCTTTCCCCATTCCAAAATAAGAAAATTCAGAAATAAAATAAAATAAAATATAGAAAAAATCCTCAGCATTAATGAATTGTTCTATGCAAAAATGTTCTCCACATGGCTTCTCACTATAACATCCAAGAAGGAACTGTGAGAATGTACAGTGGAAGCAAGCTTTCTGTGGAAAATCTGTTTCAGCTTTGGAAACTTTCCAGCTGAGGCTCAATGCAGGTTCACCACATCATATATATGTGATACACAGATTCCAGAGAGAAGAACCTGTTTTTTGTGGTTGGTTCTAGTGGTACTTGGCTAACTGATGATTTTTTAAAAATAGATAAACATCTTCTACTCTAGGTTTGATAACCCCAGTTGCTAGTGTGGAAATACCAAAATCCAAAAAGTTACTAACATCAGGAAGCAAAGCATCCAAGCAACAACATGCAATGAATGATGAATTGTACAATCCACCCCTCTGCCACTGTAAAACTTAAGTTACATCATTAAGTATTATCAGCACAATTACTTTCCAGTACAAGAAATATCTGTAAGAGGTCAGCAGCCCTATCACAGAATTACAGAGATATTCTCACTTTATCTGTGTCTATCAATTTCAAAATATTCATTTTCCTGGGCTTATCTGCAACAGTAATTTTTTTTCTTTTTTTCCAGAATTTAAACCATAGCCATAGCCACCATCAAACTAATTAATGGGCACTCTTATAATTAAATGAGAGCCTGGTAATTTTGTTTAAGCAGCAACTGATTTAATGCAATCCTATACATGTCTAGTCAGAAATAAGTCTTACTAAGTTTCATGGATCTTACTCCCAGGTACCTGTTTATAGAACTGTAGCTAAAACCATCACAGAACTTTCAGTTCATAGGCCCCAGGGTGGGAAGTGGTGGGAGACAAAAGCTCTATCAAAATATATTGCTATGATTATAATCTGAAATTGCCTCCAATGTTGACAATCACTTGACTTTCATAGACCTTCTTCATGGTTCTCTCAATTTGTTTCAGAAAAACTTGTGGAATTCGCCCACATAAAGTGTGTACAGTGTTGAGGAACTTGGTCTGGAGAGGATAATATATTGATTGGAAGAGATTGTCTTCAAAGGAAAACTAAAGAGAAAAAAGCATAAAAAGTTATAAAAATGGAATAAACAACCTTAAATCCTTGGTTCACGATTGATACTTTAAACCAGGAGTGAGCAACCACAGACTATATGTCCTTTGCACTTTTATTTTTAAAAAAATGAATATGAAACTTTATTATAACATTTAGTGACTTTACATCTTCAAGCTGATAGTAAAAAATAAAGATTATAAATATAAAAAGTGAAATACCAGAACAGAGTAAATTACAAAAAAAACCCACATAAAAACATAATAAGGAGGAACTTTTGATAGCTCGTTTTTCTTTTCCCTGCTAACATTCCTAGCCACTGATCACAATTTAAGTATTTCTACTTTTCTTGAAATACTGGGGATTGTTGCTTATATTTATTTAAATCTTTTCATCTGATATTTTTAATTGATCTCTTAACTCTTTTTCTTAAAAACTGTATTCCAAATATCTAAACCTGACTTGCTTTGTGATGTATTACAGGGTTCCTCAACCTGAGCAACTTTAAGCAGCATGGCTAGCTAGGGAATTCTGGGAGTTGAAGTCCACCCATCTTAAAGTTGCTCAGGTTGAGGAACCCTGATGTATTGTATGGAAGGGAGCCATTCCTGCTTGAATTTGTTTAAACTTTTCTTATGAACATGCAGTCAGTGTTTCCATTGCTGCATATTCTGATTTTGGTCTCCTGTTCTTGTATTATTGGCAGAGTTTTACTTTCCCAATGTTGTGCCTTATTCAGTCACGTCATTATCAGCATGTATTTGAATAGATTGTGATACTTTTCATTTATGCTCTCTGGAATTATTTCTAAAAAAATATTTGAGGTTTCAATTCAAATTTTATTTTTAAAAATTTCTGAATGTTTTGGTGTATTTCCTTCCAAGATCTTTTTGTTTGGATTTTGTTTTTTTACATAACTACCGCATGTGGTAGAATCTTCCTTCTTTATTATGCACTTCTAGCATTTGTTATTGTATGATTATAACAAACTATACTACATTTGTTCTGCAAATATTTTTGTTAACCTCCAGGATATTCCAACATTAAATTGCCACGTAATTTATAGTGCATTTAGTCCATTCTTTTAAAAATAAGACTAAAACCTAAAATACACAAACAGTAACAAAAATCTCAAAAGACAAAAAGAACTTTGTAGCCCTGCCCCCCTCAAGGATGGCACTGTCTCACTGCCATGACTCCTACAGACTTCAAAATGTGGCCCTTGATTGTAAAGCTACCCTTTTATCACTGGTCATGCCATTGGTCTACTAAACCACTATCTAATTCTAACCAACAATGCTTCTTTAGAGTAGGCAATGGCCTTTATCTGCTGTCTAAAACACTGAAATATCTTTTTCCATAAGTGTGAGGATGGCTGCTAATAGAATTCCTTGGCAACATGAATGAACAAGGCTGGCTGTAATTATTAACCATTGTAGCCCCAACTCATCTGAAGAATGCCAGCTTGGGGAACACTGCTGTAGAGACTGCCAACTATATGCACACACCAATGTCTGCAGCTAGCCACCAAAATGCCAAAATGTGTGTTATGATGGCATGATGTAAGCAAGCACATAAGAGGTGGTGTTTGTCTCACAATATATGTTTCATCACCTTCTCCTGCTTGGCACCAATACAGAATACATAGTCTGACCCCTATTTATTACATCTCCTAATCCTAGTCTTTAGTAATCTCATATATTATTCTAATCCTAACTACTGGATATCATTATCATCCAATTCTTTTTCCTCCTTCTCTGTCACCACATATTTAAGCATTAGGGCAGAAAGGCACCACCTCAAACAAACTTTGATTTGAAAATTGGGATAAACTGAATTGGAACTCTTGATTCTGAATCTGGCTCAAGAAGTTGAATCTTATGGGTCTTACATTGTACTGCAACAAGAACATTTCCAAACTCTCTGAGAACAAATGTGATATTGTGGATAGAATCGTAGAACAGGATCAGGAAGACCTAGATTCAAATGTCCATTCAAGTATGAAATTCACTGGGAAATTTTGAGTAAGTCAGGATCTCTTAACCTACTGTACCTTGCAGGATTGCTGAAACAATAAAAACCATCCCTTTTACTATACATTGTACAGGTAGTCCTTGCTTAATGACCACAGTAGGGACCAGAAAATTGGTCATTAAGCAGGGTGGTCGTTAAGTGAGTCGCCATGTTACCAGACCCAATTTTATGACCATTTTTACAATGGTCGTTAAGCAAATCACATTGTTAAATGACTGCAGCTACCCCAAGGACATTTTTGCCGGAATTTGCTTAATGACCACGTGATTCACTTAACAGCCATGTGATTCACTTAATGGCCGTGGTGATGCACTTAACGACCATCGTAAAAAAGGTTGCAAATCACGATCACGTGTGGGATGGTGCAATAGTTTGCGACGGTAGTAAGTGCGAGTACAGGTTGTAAAGCACTCTTTCCGAGGCTGTCGTAACTTTGAACCGTTGTTAAACAAATGATCATTAAGCAAAGACTACCTATAGCCTTATTTTATGTAAGAACTTGCTTTTTGACAAAACACTTACATCACGTATCACTTCATAGAGTGCTTTGAAAGTAGGCTGTTTATCATCATGATAGACACCCCGATTCCCATGCAGAATTGAAATGCCTTCTTCTTCTGCTCCTTTGCAGTTACTGCCATACATGCAGTGATCTGGTCGATAATTCCATTGACAAGGAAAGAGGTAGAGGCATTCTAAAAGGAAGCAAAATAAATATATATATAAAACTGAAAAATTACTAAAGGCAGAGAAAAAATATTCCAGAACAGAATTGTGTCTAGGAATCACCTTTAAATACAAGACCTGGAAAGAAATCAGAAAAACCTAAACTTTATAATAAAAATAAGATAAATTACAAATAAACATTTGTATATATAATTCTGATTTTTTTTTTTATGATTGCTCCAATCAGCATTATGGTTTTTGAGGGAAGAAAACCAGTAGAATTAGCAAAATGCGGAAACTTCCAATCACTGGAAAAAGATGTAAAAACACATTATGGCATAAGGAAACAATAATGTAACACTCATACTGGGAGATTCTACATTTATTTTTTTATTATTATTATATATTCAAAGTTTAAAATAGTGGTATAATTATATTACAATTTCTATCATACATACTTATAAACTATATACCTGGATTGAAATAAAAAATAATATTGAGCAAGTCCTGGTCTCCCCATGTAATGTAATTTTTATACTTTTGGTATAAAGGGTACAACATCTCTTCCCACCTCAAGCCTGTTGGAATCAAGTTGTTCTGAAATAGAGAGATAAAACGTTTGATAAAGTAGTTGTAATCACAAATTTACAATCAGAGAAGGAAGAAACCATAGCCATGGTGCACCATCTAGTTGGGATCAGTAACCAAACATCATGAAAAGAGTTGCTTTCAACAAGATGGGCCTGTCATCATTTCTCGTAGCATAGGATAAATATGCCAACAAGGATTCTATCATGACAAACTGATCTATGCATGCAATGTAAGTATTTTCTTCACAGTGATTCCACACTGGTGATTGCCTGTCAAACCTAAACATACTCAGCAGTACAATTTATTCTAGGTGCTCCTCAGTAGTATCCATTTTTGTAATAAAAACACAGTGACACAGTTTGAACCTAATATACTCATCCTACCCTTTAAATTCCGTAACTTTAATGTTAACACACTCCTCCCCCCCGCCCCACCCCTGACAGTTCTTCAGGACACAGTATGGTAATAAAAAGGAGGGTTAGCAGCTAGTTCCTATTCACTGCAAAATAATTTCCAGTGGGGCTCTGCCATATCACAAAACTTTCATAGGAAGAGATGTTAGCCTTAAAGTACAGTTTGCATGCAGAAAGAGCAAGTTCAACCCAACTGAAGGAACCAGATGGCAAGGAGGAGGAAAAACTGCTGTTTGTAATGCTAGCAAGTAGCTGCCAATCAGAATAGATCAGAATGGGCTAAATAAGATTTAGAACTGGGTTATAGTAGAGATTCATACTACACAGAGATTGGTGCAACATACATCTTGGTATTGACACTATATTTTAGGATTCTGGAATATTTTGGTATGTATACTGTCTAATTTCTTCATGACCTGAGCAGAGATAAGCAGAACATGTCACCCCCAGTATTCTGCTTGACAAACACTATATCATTCTTCTCCACTGGATGTGCTGATTAGGGATTATGGGAGCTGAAGTCTAACATATCTGAAGGGTACCAGGCTGGGGAAGACTGGCTGAACTGATAATATTCTTAGAGTGGCAATCTTTTGTGTAGAAGCACTTGAAGGCCTACAGTGATGATCTTTTCACATAACAAAGAGTCTGCCCAAGTTAACCATTCTTTAGTGAAAGAATGTGTCTTTGAACCAATGTGAATACTTATTGATCCATGTGGTGAATGCACATTTCTCAAAAAAACATAGTCCAGGCTATGTTTTCATCATGTCAATGCCATCTGTACAAAAAGAAGCTAAACTCCATGATCTGTCAAAGTTTTACACAACTAACAAGAAATGGATTAAAAACCAACGCTACCCCAACAAAGATTTTCTTCCCAAAATAAATAAATGCTCTCCTTACCTTGAACTGGGTATTTCTTATTCGGGTTAAATTCATTAGCATGACACCAGAATTGACCCCAGTGGTTCCATAATATGGGTGGCGAGCAAACCGACTATACCAGCCAATCTTTGGTATTTCATGTTCCGGTGCCATTGCAGCCAGCTGGGTGGCATTGAAAGTTCTCAGAAAGCCCCAAATGTCATCAATGGGTCGCAGGAATAGGACATCTGTGTCCACATACAGAAGGGAATCCACATCCTTTAAAATCATCTTTGGAAAAAGCCCAGACCATTGAGAAAGCCATATACACAGGAAGACAAAAATAAATGTATTAATGACTCACAATATGGATATGTACCAGTCACAAGGCAATACCTTTGACCTGCCTTTCTGTCCAAATAAAGAGATGCTGGCACAATACCTCAGGGTCAAGTAGGCAGGAACGAAGGCAAGAGGAATAGGAGAGGGAGGGGAAGGAAGGTCAGACGCTGATCAGGAGTTTGCACTTTTTTTTTTTTTTTTTGCAAAAAAAGCCAAACGCATCAGCTTCATTTTCCTTTTAGTATTAGGGAAGTCACTTCCCAACACCAGAGTTTACAAAAAAAATTGGATTTAAAATTGTTAGTTATTAACCTGCAAGGGGAGTTCATTGCCTGCTTTAGAGAAAAATCCAATTCTTCTTTGAATGGCAATCAATGTTTTCCCTTCTTATTTGCCAACACCCCCTACTTTTGCATTGTTTTAGAGGGCTCAAAGATGAACCAAGTTTTTATCTGCTCAAGTTTTAAGCCATATCAAGTGTTAGAGAGTTTATGAAGGCACACAGTCCACAACTTTTTCCTTACCAATTATTCAGCTCCAGCCAGTTATCTAGGAGCCAAGCATAGTAAATGCTCCCTGTGTTAATTTCATAAGGAACAACCTATGTTCCCATCCAGCACAGGTTGACAGACAAACTTCAAGATCCTGTTATGCCCCCTTGTTCTGACATACTGTAAGCAATAATATCTGCACTCCATCTCTAAATTCTCAATTTGTTTCTTCCTGTGACAGAATGTATCTACGAAGGGTGGGTAGGGGGTGATGTGGTGGACTGCAGTGGACAGCAAGGTTATCAGGAAGGAGGGGGTGCATTCCAGGAAGGGCAGAGAGACAAAAGACAACACAGTGGGAGCTGGAGCGTGGGAAGCATAAGAGGTTCAGGATAGCCACTCCCTGGAATCTCCCAGGGTATATCCACTAGTTGCAGTAGTACAGATTTAGTCTGGCAAGATTCTGTTTATATGGTGTAAGCAATAAAAGAACTGAATTTGGATGAACTTGCTGTTCTTGGATTGAGCCTGACCCTTTCTTTCTCTTAATCTCCTTACAACTATCACATTCTGCTTTTAAACCCTCTGCCTTATCCATATGTTACTAAGTCTCAACCTCCCCCAACATCATCTGGAGAAGGTGAGAGCTAAGGCTTGGCACACCTGGAAGGCAGCAGGTGGGGGAAGGTTGCTTTATTAGCATATGATGCTGCTGCAGATCCCTTCCTGTAACAAATGAAGGATCAAGATCTGAATTTCAAACCTTCATCATGCATGCTGGGTGCTCTGTGATTGAGCTGTGGCCTTTTGCCACCTTGAACTGCTGGAAAGAATTGTCATGTAAGATACTGATTTACTAATTATATTGATAACAATATATCAAAAGGATGAATGATAATCAGGCTGTTAATTCTTGTTTGCCACACGCCCTCTTGTGGCCATCTGGTTCTTTATAAATCTATCCCTAATTTCAGTAATTTTATACAACGCAGCAGAGTGGATTTGAGGTTTTGCACAAATGTAGGGCGCCTCCTTCCTACTTTATCTCCCCTCTAATCTTAGAGGAAACTCACTTTGTTTGTCTTCATTCCCAAACAACTCTCTAATTAAATTTGCCAGTGCTATAGCATGAATGGGCCACCACAGTGAAATTCTGCCTCTGCAAATCCACCTTTGGAAAAATCTCCTACACATTGCTACCCTAATTTGCAAACAGAAAGGTGGGGGTAGAGCCCCACCTATGTCCCTGCTCTTTTTGCAGCATGGGTAAGCTACAAATGTAACGCATAAAACCAGGCATATCTTTAGGCTGGCAATAACAATGGAATGTATTCAGATGTATAAGCTTAGCTGCCACGTTAAAAAGACATTCACGGAACATAGGCAATAAAGAAAACTCTTAAAAGCTAAGTCTGAATCAACTTCCCTTTCGCAAGCCTTGAGGTCTCAAAAACTCAATTTTTTAATACATTTTCTGTCTTGGGTAGTTAGGTGAGCATAATCTTATTGTCAAAACTGACAAGTGAAATAGTCAGGGTAAACTGAACCAAATGATCATTTTTGGGTGTATCTTTCATCGGTTTGTATAAAGTGATTATTTAGACAAGATGTTCACAGATCCTGATGATCTACTAAGTAATCCTAGGACTACTTAAGATTCTTGTCACTTAATCAAAAGATAACCCTTTTATGTCTTTAACAGGAACATAAGTATTCACTAGGTTTGATTTGCCACTCTACTGAGTTTCTTTTTTTTTTTTCATTAAAAATAAGGACTAAAGAAGGTATATGAAGCCTCCATTGGGCTTAAGATTCCTATTTTGCCTTAGAAGCCTAAGGCAAAATCCAAAACAAAAGCCCCCCCCACCTTTTCCCTGAAACATAGCCCCCAAAGCTTGCCCAAAGCCTCAATAACATGAAAAATACCTTCATTTTGTTTCTCTCCCATTTCTCTTTTCCCTTTTATTTCATACTGCAAAGCTGCTGCAATATGAAATAAAAAGGGGGATGGGACAGGAACCAAGGCACAGACTGTCTTGTATTACTGGTTATACATTAGTCACTCTAGGAGCCTTTTTGGCTAAAGTACAATATAAAACTGCCACTAATAAATAAGCAGAATTGCTGAAGAGTTCCAAAACAAAAAGCAGATTGTGTTGCAAGTCAGCAAGAAACTAACATATTATGTGTGTCAGAACATGAACAGCACTTTATTAAAGTATATACGGGGTGACAGCATGAACTGTGATTCCTATTAACTGAAAAGGAGCAGTACATTGAAATAAGAAGTGGCAAGCCTAAATGGTATAATGACATGGATTGAAGCAGCAACTAGATGCTACAGTTCTTGAAGACAATATCTCCTGCTAAGAATGACAGTTGTCACTTTCTAATTTTATTGCATATACACATCTACCTACTCTCTCAAGATACCTTCTAGGAATAGCTAGTATAGTTTCACCTAAGTATTATATCTGAAAATGCAGGTATCGTGAGTAATCCTGCCACTTTGCTAGCTGAGAGAGCAAGACAGAGCATCTGCCAGTAAGGTACAGAATTCACAGGTCTATAGCGGTAGGCTTGGTCAATGTTCTATTTTTTAAAATAAAAATACTGAAAAAATTATCAGAGGGACAAACTTGGACAGGACAGATCTCTTTACCTTCCTGGATGCAACAGTGAAAATAGCTACAGTATGTAACTGACTGTTCCATCTTATTCAATCTTGTTTTGCCTTGAGGTATGCACATGAGGCTAATAGACTAACTTGAATAAAGGAAACAAACTTATTCTTAAAGTGTACACTTTCAAATATATATATATATATATATATATATATATATATTCTATTGTACAGCACAGAACA